GACCTTTCTAGCTTGCTTTGTTTTGAAGTAAAATTTAAAATGTGTTCATAACCTGACTTTAGAGCTATTTTATGTTTGCAGGTCTTTTAATTATAACTGCTTTTACTTTTTGAGGTTTCTCCATTGATATACTTGAATTAGGGCTTGACTCAGCCCTTCTGTTTACAGCTGCTAAGGAGAGGTTAGTTATGTGAGGGAAGTCCAGGACTCTGAATAGATGTAATTATTAGACAGATGTCCATGAACCCAGGAAAGTTAAATGTAAGTGTGGATGGAAAGTTCCTAGAGCATTGTAGTATACCATGGAAACAAACAGAGAGCACACAGTAGGTCAGGGAGGAATAAGGAGAAGAGGAAAAGGGCAAAGAGTCAAGTGACATTTGCTTGTTTACCTCCTGACTCATGTAATCAGTAGATAATTCTGAACTGATTACAGTGAACTATTCACAAGTCTATATGCTAAGAATTAAACTGCTACAAATGGAAGACCTTAATATCTTAGAATTTTTATTCTAATTTTTATTCTATTTTATTGAAATTGACAGTGAACACACGGACACACAAATGCACTGCATAGTTCAATTTTATGAGTCTCAACATCAGAGAGATGAGCAGGGTGCAATAATAGAGTAAGTAGAATAAGGGAGAGTGATGATGGAGCAAGGGGGATATGATAGAGTAAGTGGGAGCTATGGCAGTAGGAGAAGGACTGTGGTAGAGATGGAGGAAGCCTGTGTTAATGGAATAAAAGAGTTATGATATTTTATTTTCTATTTCAATATATATATAATTTGTATACAATATAAAACAATCCAATCCAATGCAAAGTATTTAAAACTAGTAATTCTTTTTTTTGAGTTATGATATTTTAAAATAAGGGTTATAATGCAGATAGAAGTGGGATATGATGGAATATGTGGTGAGCTATGACAGAGTAGGAAGGGCTGTGATAGAGTAACAGGAGGACTATGATAGAGTAACAGGAGGAATATAATAGAGTAACAGGAGGACTATAATAGAGTAACAGGAGGACTATGATAGAGTAACAGGAGGACTATGACAGAGTAAGGGGCATGTAACTTTGCATGGGAAGACCAGTAGAATCTGTGAGTTCTCTCACAGAAGTGACACCTGAGCTGAGACTTGAAGATGGTCGAGAGTCTGGTTTACCAAGTTTTGGACAGAGATTGTTTCCTATTCAGAAAGACCTAAGACCACATCTGGGAAGTTCAGCAAGTCAAAAGACACCAGCATTGCTGCTGCAGAGAATTGGGATCTTTCCCCACAAAAAGCTCATGTTGACAATTCAGGCCTGTACAAATCCTGTGCAACATTGTGTATCATAGCATCTAGAATACAACTTTGTGTTGTATTCTAGAAAAGACATAAAGCCATTTAAACACTTTGGGAGAGTGTAGACGGCTAGTTTATGGTGTGTGTATTTTATGTGACAGGATATTAAGTTTTATGCTTGCCCTCCCCCAAGCACTGAAACTACTTCTGAGGCTCTTTAGAGAGCCAGCTGCCCTGTAACTGCTCGGAGTTCACAAAAGATCCACTGGTGATTCTCAAACTCTTATGTTTGGGCATCAGCCTGATCTTATTAACAGAAAGGAGAACTTTCTCTGTACACTGGAAGTCCCCTTCCTCTCTGCACCTCTGCCCCTTCCTTCTTACTTTTCCTTCACTACAGGAATCCTAGGACTGGGGACACTGGGCTCTCCTGTCATCCTTCCCACCTTACTTTCAGAAAATATTATGCAGAAGCCCTCTTTCCCAGCATGTCCTCTCCCCTGCAAATATAAAATACAGTGAGCTCTTCCAGAGAACTGTGGAAGAAAAAGTGGAGGACAGACTTCATCTCCTACAACAAGAAGACAACTTCCTTAGCCACAGGCTTTACTGGAGGATCTCATGCTCTGATAAGATTTTCTTGTATCAGATTTTGCTTTGGTCCCAATCACAGAGAAACAAGAGATCCCAGAGGCAGGTGCTCAGCATCAGGCCCCTGTGCTGAGTTTATGCTCAGCTCCCACAGTGGTTTCTGCCACTGTGTGTCACTCAGAGCACAATAGTAAACAGCTGAGTCAGACTCTTTGACCATGGCTTTCTGCAAGTGGAACGAGGTGGATCCTTTATCATATGTAGCTTCAAAACCTTGGCTGCTTCCCTTGTTGTTGGCTGTTGTGACTTTCAAAAGCAGCTCTGGACCTTCTCCAGGGTACTGGACATACCAGAAAAGAGTTGGGTACCCTGTGGCTGAATAAGTGCAGTTTATAAATAGGACATCGTCTTCTGAGAGAGTCACTTGACCTTGTTTCTGAGTCACTGAGTCTCCTTGGGTTCTCCCTGGAGGAAGAAGAGGATACCTGTGTCACATTAAGGACAAAGCTCTTAGATGGTTAAATATTTTTCTGACATCATAGGAGAAAGAGTACAAATTTTAAGTCACTTCACTTACCAAGCATGAACAGCAGCATCACAGTCACCAAAGCTGGAGAAATGTTCATCTTTAGTGTCACCAAAGTAATGTTCTTAAGTCTTCACATGAAGAAATGGTGAAATGACATCAAATGATGAACCTGGGAAGCTTATAATTCACAAAGATAATGATCTTGTGTCAAGAAACTCCTCCCCCTGGTGGACAGAGACTAAACTAGGGTCTCTTGCATACCTCTCAGAAGTCAGAAATGTGCTCTCATTTTGAAATCATTCATAAGGCACATGTCAAATTTTAAGTGCCCCTTATAAATATAAAGGATATAAGCAATGGCCATTAATATATTCAATGTTGTCATTCTTAGGATTCAACCTGACTTGAAAGTTTTATAGTAGAGCAACTGATGAGTTCTCGGTTTGCTTTTTACCATAGGATAAATTAAAGGCAACAAGTCGATTTCACCAGTTTCTATTCACTGATTTGAATTTTTATCAAGATACTATGTGAGCCCAAAGTGATGGCTCAGCACTTGGAAGCACTTGTTGCTCTTGCAGAAGCCCCGGGTTTGATTCTCACAACATACATAGTGGTTCTCAACTATCTGTAACTCCAGTTTCAGGGAAACTGACTCTCTCTTCTGACCTCCATGGGCACCAGGCACACACATGGTACCTAAATACAAAAGCAGGCAAAACATCCATAAGCATAAAATAAAATAAATCTTTAAATTTTCTTACAGTTATAATAAAATGGAGTAATTACAAACTGGCCCAGGGAATGTGTAATCATTAAAATCTGTGCTTTTTACCTTCTAGAAATTTGAAATAATGGGTTTATGTTGCCCATTTACTTAGAAGGTCATTGGTGTCTTGAAAGAAGATTTGAAGATTAACATACTGGACAACCACAACAAAGGAAGCAGTTGTGGCTGGCATGCAGGACTCACATGCTGTGCCATGCTCTATATCAAATGTAGGCTATGACCATTTTCTTAACTCTTCAGTAGATGTCATTGTGACCAGTGGTGCATGTTTTCAGGAATCACAAAGCTGACCATCATTTGCAATTGGGGTGACATTTGTGACCCTTCCTTGCGGGCCTGACAAGGGCATTGCAAGCAGGCAGCTCATATAAGTGTCTTCAGAAAAGCTCCTTCTTTCAACTGTTAAAACTTCTACTCATGAGTATGGCTTTCATGGCTGCCATGTTTCTGTGGGAGCTCCTTTTATCCTTTAATTTGGTCTTAGTAATATTTTACCATTGACAGAATTTGTCATTTCACAAATCTTTTTTCTCACTTTTGTCTACATCACTGTTTCCTAATTCTTGTTGTTTTTAACCTATAAGTGTACTGTAAATACCAGCCTTTGACTCAGAACCTTTGTCTCCTACTGTTCAAGGTAAAGAGTGTTGATCCCATCTGAATTATCCTCACAATTTCTGAAGTTGCTTCAGAATGTGTTGTTCATACGATTTCCCTATATAAGATGTAGAATCATTTCTCAAAGCAATATTTTCTTTCTTCTTTCTTTTTTTATTCTTACAATTTCACAGCCTTAGACTTTTGCACAGACTGACACACTGCATATGTACCTCCTCCTACACTGCAGGCCTCAAATGCCAGGAGAAAGCAGTTGGTTAGCCCTACAAATTGTCAGGTCACTATTGCAGCAGCAGCCATGCCTTGCTTGTCAGGTCAGTCATTTAGAACACTGGGGCCACAGCACACAGCATGGTTTTGAAACAGAGTATCACCAACTCCTGTAAGAATCTGTTATACAGAGCTTTTGGATTGCCATACACATGGACATGCTAGATTCAGCTCACACAGAAAGGAGATGAAAGCTTACCCTTTACTTCAGATGTTCCTATCTGAACCTACTTCTCAAACTGTTCATTTTCCACTGTTTATTTAAACCAAGATATTACAGTGCACAATACATGCTGAATATACACAATAAATGTGAATTTAAAAAAAGCATCAATCAACAATATAATCTAAACTTCCTTGGTCATTTTGGCCTTATCATATGTATTTTTAATATCTATATGTTGGTTTCTACTCTGAAACAATGTTACAAATGTTGTCCTAGAATGTCTGACATAGCAAAAAGAATTGAATATGATCAAAGTGCATTGTATGAAATTTCAAAAAAACAAATGAAAGTCCCATTCTTCTGATAATTGAAAGATATGCAATTGACTGAAATACTGATTAATCTCTTTTCTGTTTGCTGAACAGCACGTCTGTTTGATGCCTTTGTAGAGCAATGATTGAAGAGCAGTGAACACAGTACAGTGGGTCTACCTGACAGCACTGTGAACCTTGTCATCTTTGTCAGTTGTCCCAGTACTCTCCATGAGAACTTCTTCCTGAAAACGGGAATCTGTGAGGAAAGGGTGCACTGGTGGGAAACAGCAATCCTGAAGTCGCTGGTGTTAGTGGAGATGACAGAGACACAGCACAAACTGGAAACCCCACAGCTGTGCAAAGCCTCCTGCAGAGTCTCCCTGTGGCAGGGCTGTAGCTGCACACACAGCTGCAGTTTGGGGCCAGGCTTCAGGCTTGCTGGGAGCACTGTGCATCAGCAGCACAGAGGTAAGTGCCTGAGTCGTCCAGCTGGGCATCTCTGATGTGCAGGGTGCTGTAGCGCTCCTTGGAGTCAAATGTTGACTTGAATCTCCCGTTCTCATTCTCCTTTGTTCCTGAAGCCATGAAGAACAGCCTGAGGAGGCTGCCGCCGGGATTCTGCCGAAACCACTGCACAGTTGTCATGGTTGTAGAAAAATCGCATCTCAGAGAAGAGCCGGCTCCCTCGTGGAGACTGAGGGCTGGAGGACTCTGTTCCACCTGCATCCCTCTCACGCCTGCTCAGAGAGAAAGGGAAAAAGAAAAGAAAAAACAAAAAACAAAAAAACATGACAATCCTTCTGCAGGTTCCACCCTGTCAGATATCCCAGGAGACAGCCATGAGGAGCTTTGGGTCACCTGTGTCCTGCCCCTCCCACTGGCAGCTCTGGAACACCCCTAACCCATCTGGGAGAGCCACAACTCACAGCAAACCTGCACCCACAGCAGCCCCAGAATAGCTCCCAGGCTCCTCTCCATGGATCCTGTAAACTGCTGAGACGCCTTCACCCCAGTTCCAGACAGTGTCTAACTTAGTTCCAACCATGAGCAGGCTCTCCTTCGTTCACCAGGCACCAATAAAATCTGAGCTCTTTCATCTTGATGGAAAACCCCACCCACAGCAGCCCAGTCAGGCCTCACAATAACTGCTCCCTAGCTGTGGATGAAAACCCTGCAGGGAACAGGAAGCTATGTCATCTACAGCTTGAAAACTAAAAAGGGTTTATTTGTTTGTTTGTATGTTGTAACAGTTAAAGTAAGAGATATTTGAGGGAAATTGTGAGAAGGAGGGGATGATATATCAGGAAAGAGCTGAGGTCTCTGTACATCATAGAACTTAGAAGGATAGAGAGAGTATGCTATTTTACATAATTTTACAGAATTTGAGAAATCAGTTGTATGAAAATTCTGATGAAAGAAAACTCTTTGATGGTATGCAATGTGTGTTGAGGAATAAATATACTTTCTTGAAATCAGCAGATCACCAACTGCTAAGAAATGTTTCCAATGAAACTTTCCTTTGTTAAAACAGTCAGGTCATAAACACAACATTCACCCTGATTCATTTTCTACCTCTGCCCTTTTCCAGTCCCTTCCCTGTACCCTGCAGACGCACACATTGCTGTTCAAGTTCAATAGTATTCTCTTTATCCCTTTGACTAATTATCATGTTCCTGCTAGTCTGAGAGGAGTCAATGAAAAGTTTGGCTATCACAGGTATTGGAATAGATTCTGGGTCCATGAACTCTGAAGATTTTCATCATAAAATTTTAAAACTTGGGCTGGAGAGATGACTCAGCGGTTAAGAGCACTGGCTGCTCTTCCAAAGGTCCTGAGTTCAATTCCCAGCACCCACATGGTGGCTCACACCCATCTGTAATGAGATCTGCTGCCCTCTTCTGGCCTGCAGGGACACATGCAGGCAGAATACTGTATACATAACAAATAAATAAATCTTTTAAAAAAATTTTAAACTTGAAGTTATGGAGTTAGATCTTTTCTATTGAGCTTCAGAGGTTGTATTGACCAGTAAAATTCTATTTCCTTGTCTGTCCTCAAGAAATCATCCTCACAGTGGATTTCCAGTCACCTCAAGTTTTATGGTTCCACAGAATAGCACAGCTAACAACCAGGAATAAACTTTGCTGTCTGTGACTGACAGCCTCACATGTTCTCTGGTCTCTTTAAACTGCCCAACCCTTCAGGAACTTGAGAAAGTCATTTCTGGGAAGCCTGCAGTGCCCCCTAGTGGACCAACGCCATCAGCAAAGGTGACTTGAGGCCATAACTCCACATGTCACACAAAAGCAACCCCTTCACTCCTTTAGTTCCTGATGGAGGAAATGCAAGATGGTCAGAAGACATGACAGTCTAGACTGAGTGGGGGGTAAAGGTGAATCACTTTGAAAGTGATACATCATGGAGATTAAACCTCTAAATAAACTGCTATTTCTTATCATGAGCTATTTATGAGATTTATATAATTTAATTCAAAATAAATCTATAAGCATTGACTAAAATTATACTGAAAATGATAATAAGAACATATAAAAGTGGAGGTGACACTGATTTACTCTGTAATGAACAAGACTAAAATACAGGGATCTGAATAAAGCAAACAGCATCAGGGAAGAACGTAAACCGAGAGTAGTGTAATCTGAGGAACAGGAGTAATGTCCACATACAGATGGTCAGACTCTGAAGAAGGCAAGTGTGATGATAGGATAGTAAACATAAGTGACCTCCAAAATTTTACCAGGGAAATCCTACAGCTGATAAACAATTTTGGCAAAGTAGATGGATACAAGATTAACTCAAAATAATCTGTAGCCCTCCAAATATACAAAAGACAGATGGGATGAGAAAGAAATCAGGAAAACAACACCCTACACAATAGCCACAAATAATATAAAATATCTTGAGGTGACTCTAACCAAACAAGTGAAAGACCAGTATGACAAGACTTCAAGCCTTTGAAGAAAGAAATTGAGGAGAATATCAGAAGATGGAAAGTTCTCTCATGCTCATAGATTGGTAGGATTAACATAGTAAAAATGGCCAGCTTACCAAAAGCAATCTAAGGATTCAATGCACTCCCCACCAAATTCCAACACAATTCTTTACAGGTCTTAAAGGAACAAGACTCAACTTCATACGGAAAAATGAAAAAACCCAAAGATAGCTAAAACAATCCTGTACAATAAAAGAACTTCTGAAGGTATCACCATCCCTGATATCAATCTCTACTATAGAGCAATAGTAATAAAAACAGCATGGTATTGGTGTTTAAAAAAAAAAAAGACAGGTGATCAGTTGAATCACATCAAAGACCAGACATAAATCCACACACCTATGGACACCTAATTTTTTGATAATGAAGTCAGAAATATATGATGGAAAAAAAAAGCATCATCAGCAAATGGTGCTGGTCTACTTGGATGTCAACATGTAGAGGAATGCAAATAGAACCATATCTATCACCCTGTCCAAAATTCAAGTCCAAGTGGACCAAAGACCATAAAACCAGATACACTGAACCTAATAGAAGAGAAAGAGGTATATAGATTTGAACCATTGGCACATAAGACAACTTTTTGTACAGAACACCAATAGCACAGGGACTAAGATCAGCAATTAATAAATGAGACCCCATGAACTGAAAAGCTTCTGTAATGCAAAGGATACTGTCAATAGGATAAAATGGAAATGATCAGAATGGAAAAAGATATTCACCAACTCCACATATGACAGAGTGCTAATTTCCAAAATAAATAAACTAGACCTCAACAAACCTAATAATCCAATTTTTAAAAATGGAATACAGATCTAAATAGAGAATTCTCAACAGAGAAACCTCAAATGTCTAAGAAACAAAGAAATGTTCAACATCCTTAGCCACTAGGGAAATGCAAAACAAAATGACTTTGAGATCCTATCTTACACCTGGCAGGATAGCTAAGTTAAAAAACAGGAGTGACAGTTCATGCTGATGAGGATTTGAAGCAAAGGGAACACTCCTCCATTGCTGGTGGGAGTGCAAACTTGTACAGACACTTTGGAAATCAATATAGCAGTTTCTCAGAAAATTTGGAATTCATCTACCTCAATATCCAACTGTACCACTCCTGGGCATATACCCAAAGGACTCCCCATCTTACCAAAAGGATGCTTGCTCAACTATGTTCATTGGAGCTTTATTAGTAATATTCAGAAACTGGAAACAACCTAGATGTCCCTCAATCAAAGAATAGATTTAAAAATGTGATACATTTACACAGTGAAGTGTTACTCGGCTGTTAAAAAAATAAGGACCATTCTTGGGCTGTGCTTATAAAGTGCGTATTCAACTCCCCATGGGTGAAGTAGTAAAAAGATTCTAATGAAGTAGAGAGAAATCTTTAGCTTTGGAAGGAGCAGGTGCTGAATGGCTTCTCCTGTGTCAGAGGAGACTCTTCATAGAAAGGAAATGACAGCTTCTGTGCAGTTCAGGGAGAACTAATTAGCAAGAAGACAGAGGGTGTGACCCATGACATCAGCAGGCCCTTTGCTGGACATTCTATTGTATCCTGGAGACCTCTTGGAATCCCCAGTGATGTCACTAGTGTTGTAGTAACACCATGTGAGCTTAGGACATTTGTTAAGTGCCTATAAGGTTCACCTATAGGTATGTTGTCAAGACTGAGGTGTCTACTTGGGAGAGAGAATGGACAGCATGGAAAGACCAGAGTGAGAAAGAAGGAAGCTGGCCCTAGGTCTCACTGCAAAACATGGAGAAATAAATGGTCCTGGAGAAGACACAGTGAGTTCATGGAAGGGACTAGGGAGCTTTCTGGATATGATGCCCTTGAGCTTTCCAGGCCTAGGGCTCAGGAACTGGGAGCCCCTGGGGAGCAATAGGCCTATCATGCTTCTCTGGGTTCCTAAAGGGCTGACCTACATCATGGATTAATGATGATTAGTTTGACAGTCATGAATTGACAAGGCTGTAGCCTTTATGCTGGGGGCCCTCTGCTTTCACTCTGAGTGGGAAAGGAAACACTGTGGAATTAATGAGATTTCAATGCTATCACAGCACTTTGCCCCCACTGGAGTCCTTTAGGTTGTGTACCAGGAATAATAGGAAAGGAGAGTGCCCTGGCAAAGCCTGAGGTTGTCATGCTCTAAATAACAGCCACTACCAGGGCTGAGGCACCAAGTGACTTCCAGTGACCCCTAAGGTTTCTGACTTCCCAGCTGTGGGTGGCATACAGGTCTCCAGTTCAGCCTGAGAGCTACTGGAGCCAGTGGACCTGGGTAGAGACTGCCCTTCCTGCCAGTTGGTGTCCTGGGCAGCTCTGCCATCTTGCAGCTTCCAGTCTTAAGTAGACTTGATGACCATAGATGTGGGATTATTTTGACAGGCTGAGGATTGGGGTGACAGACTTGAGGCTCCAAGAGAATGTTTTCTCCAATTATCTCAATATAGTATCACTAAGTTGTGTGCTTCCCTAGGAATTTTCAGTCCCTACGGAATGAATAATAGGATAGTGTGTCTCAGTTGAAACACCTGATATGCAGAATCTAAACTCAACTGTTCATTCAGCATGATGTCCTCTACGTTGTTTTCTGCTCATTTATGATTTATGTGGTCTTTGTGTGATGTATGCGTGTGTGTGTGTGTGTGTGTGTGTGTGTGTGTGTGTGTGTGTGTGTGTGTAAATGTGTACATTGGTGTGTGTGCACAGGCCTGATACTGAAATCTGGTCTTGTCCTCTGTCACTCCCTTATTCCCTTTAGCCCAGGTCTCCCAGGGAACCTAAAATTTTCTGTTTTTGTTAATTTGGCTGGACAGCACTGGATCTCCTGTGTTCTCCAAAGTGGATATTCTGTCTTGTTTTGTCTCTTCTAATTGTTACAAGTTTCAATAGCTCAGAAAGAGGAAGGATGTAGTAGCTCTCTCTTTATTTTACACTTATTTATTGTTTTCGAATTAGTATGTT